GGCCCGCAGGGACAGCCCCGCCGGCGGCTCCGATGGCTCGGGCCTGCTCTGCCTCCAGCCTTCCGCGAGGAAGGAGTCGATCCAGCCTCGGTCTTGAGGGCCCGGTGGGAGAGTCCTTTCAAGGACTTAAACCAAACCCCATGGGTTTGGCTTTTTTTTTCTTAATTAAATACAAGTATTTGCAGTATTTGAGGGATTATGAATAGATTAAATGGAATTTAGTTATCAGAAATAGGATTTGATATGGTTCTTGTAGCCAGGTTTTGACTTCTTGATGCCTGAAAAGCTCTTTGTTTAGGAAATAGTGCCGTGGAAGCTCGGAGGAAGCCCAAGGAGCAGGGCTGGCCAGGAGTTACGTCGGCTGTGTGCCTATGGGTGGGAGTCTGGGAGTATGAAACCAGGTTGCGTGAAAATCTGGGTCATGAGTGGTACTGCTGGCGTGGTCGTGAACAGGAGTATCAAAGAACCCTTGTGTTTTGATTAAGCAGTCTCCAGATGTTGAGCCAAATGGTAGATCTGGTTGGATTATTTTCCCCTCTTTCTAATCTTACAAAAAGACTGAATAATGTTATGGGCTGGAATGTGATACTGCAAACGCAAACCACATGAATGAAACACAGTAGTGTGTCGCACAGCAAATTAAGACATAGAAGATCTTTGGCTACCTGTCCTCCAGCTAGCTGCATTTAGAGTCACTCATATAGCACTTCCTCTCTTTAGCTTGTTTTCAAGTTAACTTTGGAACAATTCATACTGTTGTCAGTATTCATCATATCTGAGTAAATTACAAACAGGCTAGATGCATGTTTCTTCCTCATCCATCCTTGTCTGAGTGGGGTACTTCAATGAGACTGCTCCCAAGGCAGGTTAGCAGTAAAGAGCAAAGACCCAAGAAGGGAATCAAAACCAGAAAACACGCTGCTAATGTTAGGTTTTTAGTTTAGACCAGAAATGTTCTTTTTGAATGGAATCTCCTGGTCTCACCTGCTTAAATGTTGTTTTGGCTCACGTAATCAAGCAGTTACAGAGCATATGAACTGATATTTCATTTGGATAAGACTGAACTGAAAAGCACAAGGTAGCAATACACCAAATACGTTCTAGCTGTTCAAGTGCATTCAGGCTGTGGCAGCAAATTAAAGCTAGCATGGAATTAAACCCCCTGAATTGCATATGGTGTGGGTGCTAGGTCCTCAGCACCGTTTCACCCTAAAGATGGGCCATTGATCCACTACTTAATAACGTAGCCATTCCTGTGTCTAAACTTCCCTGTTAGAGTAGAAAACTACCAGCAGAAGATGGGACTACAGAAAAACATTCTCTGTTGCCCCTGTTAGATACAGCATTGTTTGGCCTTCATTAATTGGTGGTGTACTGCTTTGTAGCCCAAGATTTAGGGAGCGTAAAATAAGTTCTTGACTACAAACAAGTAAAAACAACGCTAAAGTAAACTTTGTCATATGTTCCTTTTTTCTGGCAAAACACCTATTTCTTTGCTTCTTTCGCT